CAAACATGAATGAATTGATCATCAAGGAACGCGTTGAAGCGGGGTTCCTGAACCCTCACACCACCCTATGTGAGCTGAAGTCATACCATGCAGGGCTTTAAAACCTGCATTTTAACAAGCACCAGAGCTCTGCCCAGCACTCACAGGCCTGTGTGGCGGGTCCTCAAACCACAAGTCTAGACTTGCCTTCTCAAAATGCACTCCAGGCTTCCCTACCTCCACGGCCCTGGCCCACACGCTCACTCTCCACCTGGCTGGGCCCCCACTCCCACCACCAGAGGCTGGCAGCCAAAATCCTCGAGCCAAAACTAAACAAGCAAAAGAGTCTCTATGCCTCTCTGGCACAGAGCAGGTGCCGGCTCAAGGGAGTTCTACATTGCCCAGAACAGAAGGCAACCCAGCCTCCCCCAGCCAGCCTGGGGCCGCACAGCACCTGCCCGTCCTGATCAGAACACTCACTAATGAGGACCAGCTGTCAAGCAAGACCTACTATGTGCCGGAGGCTTAGAACTCGTCTCCAGAGGCACTTGTCTGAGCCCCGGGGCCTGCTGTTCTCCGTGGGTGCACAGCGTACATATGTGTGCCCAACCTAAATGAGAACCGTATCAACCATCCTCGGAGAGATGAAAGGAATGTGTGTTTGATGAGAACCTATGGAGTTCGGCAGGCAGTGGGAAAGACAGACCAGAAATGTCTCAGTAAGCAGGCAGATCTGCGAAGTCCCTCCCAGGTCACGAAAAGGGCAGGGAGAACAGGCAAGCAGGCCTCACATCTGTCTCTCAAAGACCCCAGGAGGACCGTAGTGGGAAAGAGACAACACTCAGGAGGGAAACTGAGTCAAGTCTGAGTCCTGGAGCTGGCTCGGAACAGACAGACCAACAACCCTTGGGAGTCACTTTCCACAATCCCTAGAGAGAGGGGGTGACAGAAAGGATGTGTCTTGCCCTCTCCCAGGGGGGTAGAATGTAACTCCCAGACCCTCCCCACTTCCTGAACTGGTTCCTGCGCAGTTCAGGGGATGAGAAGGCAGGAAGTATACACACACACACACACACACACACACACACACACACACACACACAGCCAAGTACCCACTAACACAATGCTGGAGGCACTGGGGAAGGCCGGAATCAGAGAACTGCCTTCAGGAATGTCCCAGGCCTGGGGTGGAGACAGAGAGAAGAATGTTGGGAGAGTGAGACCTGGCAGCTGGCCCCAATGTCTCCTCCTGGCCCTTCTTTCCCTACAACCGTCACACAAGGACCCCACCACCTACTTCCTCCCATAGAGCCAGGTCCCTGTCCCCATTTACAACTGTGTGACACGAGGCCCAGAGAGGGTTCTAGTAACAGGACATCCCAAGATGAAAGGACCCAGGCCCACTTGGCAAAGGAGTTTAGCGATACATGGGAGCTGGTTTCAGAGTCTCCCTGTGAAGTTCCAGCCCTGATTCTACTGCTCTGTGTCCCTGGGCTGGTCTGCAACCTCTGTGTCTTGTCTGTGAAATGAGGAATAGCAGTTGCTCTTACTACACAAGGATTCTGTGGGATTAAGCAGGAGCCAAGGGCAAGTTATAGATTGTATCCCAAACCAGACCCTAGGCAGGGGCCGGAGGGACCTTCCCTGATATACGTCTCCAAATCACCACTGTGATGGCCACTGCTTTCTGAAGCCAACCCCTTCCTCTGGCCTGTCCAGGTGGCTCTCCGGTCCTCAAGGCCCCTCGAGGGCTCCCTGGGAACTGTGTACCGGGCTGGGCTAAAGGGAAGGGAACTCTATTATCCCAAGTCCACAGGCACGATCCCCAGTAACAATGTCAGAGCCTCTGCCCGGGGTGTTCACTGAGCCAGGAGAAGGTTAATTTGATCAGGGATCGTCTGGGACAGCTGGAGGCAGATGACTGCGTTAGCCTTCTGGACTGTTCTCACCCAAGCAGCCTGATGGGTACGGAGGGAGCGGCAAACTTAGAAGCAGTGGACTTGGGCAGTGCAGCGCAGGGGGTAGGGAGAGGCTTGGGGCAGGGAAGGACCTGGATTCTGGAGTCTTAGCAGGGGCAGGGGACGTGCAGGGTCTGACCTCACTTGTCGGATCCTAAGGTAAGCAGTCACTCCTTCCTCCTTACAGAGCCTGCGCCACACACAACCAGGAATGGCAGCCGTGGCCCTAACACTCCAATCTGCTTCCAGAACAGTGCTGGGGTGACAAGAAGGCCACATGGAGGAGAAAGCATGGGGATACAGAGACCTTGGACCCTCCCCGCCCCCCCCCCCCCGGAGAAGGTTTGGCAGCTGGGTGTGCCTGTCTCTATCCAAATCTGTGGAAGCCACAGGCAGCCTCTGCCGTAGCCAGTAACCTTTCAGCCCACCTGCCACCCTGACTCACCTCACCCCTTGTGGCACAAAGGTCCCCTTCCCTGCTGATCTGATGCAGCCACCCTGCAGAGGAAAGACTTTGTTGATCTCAGTTTGCCCGAGCACAGCCCTGCGACCAGTAGCCAGTCCACCCACCTACAGGACAGGCTGGCGGCGGTGAGGACCCCAGGAAAGAAGAGAAGCAAATTCTTTTGCAAAGTTCGACTTAACCAAAACAGCAGGGGGTGCCGGAGGAAGGAGGGAATGGAAGACAGAGCTGACGTGGGCTGAGCTCCACCCCATGTGCCAGGCGCCAGAAGGCCCACTGTAGTTCCTGGGACCCCATCCTTCACCTCTGGCCCCCTCCACAAGTGACAGGTGAAAGACCTGACAGGGAAGAGGGGAAGAGAATGCCCAAATCACAAAACTCAAAAACTGGCACATTGAGATCAGAACCCAAGGCTCCAGGCTCCCTCAGCATATGCCCATGCAGCCACATGAACATTCACAAACATGGGTGCCCAAGGTTTGTGAGCAGCTGGGACAAGGCCAACACGGACCCAAGAGGCTCAGAGGCTAGGAGGTGCCCGTGTGGCAGAGGATGAGATGCATTCTTCCTGGGGAACAAGAGTCTTAAGGAAAGGAGGACTGCCAGGAAATGGGGGGCGGGGGGCTCCTTGGGAGAGGCTGCTTGCTCTGAGGCTCCGTCCCCTGCCTTTCTTCTCCCTTTTCCCAGGAGACAGGACCACACTCGACCCCACACATGCACAGTGATATCACATGCCCAGGCCCATGAGGGCAGCCCTCACACTGCTGTCCCAGTGACATCACCAATAGCCTGAAGCTGATGTCACAGCCCAAGATTCTCACTGACATCACACACGCACTTCTCTCTCTCCGGTATCTCCCTACTCTTCTTTTCCTGCCCAAGGGCTGTTGGCCCAGAGGTCCCGCTGTCCACCATGTGTAGCAGGAGGGCCCATAGGTAGCCGAGACAGTGTGTGTTCACCCAGTGTACGTTCACCCACATACCAGACGATGTTCACAGGCATGTGCAAGCCCACATGCCCTGCTGCTGATCTAGACATGGCATGTCCCACAGGTGTCCACAGGCTACAGAAACCGTGGGAGACAAGCAACCACACACAGACACAGGCAAACACGCCCAGCCCCCATGATGCAGCTCCTGGTGTTGAGATGCTCCTCCTCCGTCACTGAAGCCAACTGGCCAGAGGGGCAGCCTCCACCACATTCCTCCAGGTACCGCCAGCCGGCTGCCCCTTCCCCCAGCTTCTCCCACAGCCTGGCCTGCTGACAGTGACATCCGCAGCCGGACACAAGAGCACACACGTGCACACACATGCACCAGCACACACACACACACACACACACACACACACACACACACACACACACCAGTCCAACACCTGTATCTCTCCACAAGGGACCAGTGCCTCTGCCGACGCTGCAAGGCAGGAAGAGTCCGGAGCCCTGGGGAAGTGCCCTTAAGTACCACGTACCTCCAAAGCTGACTGAGATTCCGAGCAATGTCCCTGGCTCATTCTCCTTGGTCATGCCTGACACACCGAGGCCTGGCAGCCTACATCCTCCACACAGTCTCCCCAAGTGCGCAGATTCACACACACCGAGACATACAGACACACACACACACACACACACACACACACACACACACACACATACACACACACATCCCAGCTCTCTCCCCTCCAAACGTTCTGAGGAAGCCCTACTGGGCCACAGTGTGTGTGTGTGTGTGTGTGTGTGTGTGTGTGTGTGTGTGTGTGTGTGTGTCAGCAGGGGTCTATTCTGAGTCAATACACACCCCTTCCCACGTGCATATACCACCCCACCAGCCAACACACCCACCCTCTGCCCCTCCTAGCCAGCTGCGGTCTGAACATACACACACACACACACACACACACACACACACACACACACGCGAACACACACACACCACCCGGCAGTGGCAGGGCCCAGTCAAAGCTGCAGTATGTCGGTTTATGCTGATGCCTCCGTGCTTGTCCCACACCAGCCCTGACGAGGAAAAAATCCAACCCCCTGCAAGGGTCCCCACGTACCCTAACTCTGAACCACCTACTAAATTCACAGTGCCCCTGAAGAGAAGGGGGACAAGCCGCACCCCGGTCCCCTCCCCTTGAGCCAGCCACCTAGCCACCCCGTCAAACCCCCTCCCCCTTACCGGTGAGAAGATGAATTCCTTGACCCGCCAGGACTCAGTGAAAGGGGGGATCGGAGCCTCTGGTTTGCCAAAATGGGGGCCAGAGAGGTGCGATGTGGCACTGGCTAGCAAAACCGTCCTCCGCCAGGCTTCTGCACCACAACCCCGAAAATGCTCACCTCGACGCTCGTCCTCCCTGCCCTCCCACCACGCCTCCGCCCAGCCTCACCCCCACCACCTCGCGCAGGGTGGTCCCCTGAGGGTCTCACGGGGACTCCCAGATCAGGAGGAACCCGGAGTGGCTCTCCCTGGCTCATCCTCCCCTCCCGGGTCCCTTTCCAAGCCCCACCCCCGCTGGCGGCCAGGGCACCCTCCGCTCAGCCCGGATTCCCGGGGTCTCCGCCAGCCGCGGGCAGCTCTCGGCTCCGGAGGAATTCACTCACCTCCAGTCCCGGCTGGAATCCGAGCAGGATGCCACCGCCTCCGGGCAGCGGCTGCTGCGGGGCCTGCGCCGGAGAGCGAGCGTGAGCGCGGGTGCGAGTGTGCGCAGCGGCCGGCCGTGGGTCTGTGCGTGTCGTGTGTCTGTGGCGTGGCCCGGGCGTGTGTGTCTGTGAGCGTGCGTGTGCGCGCAGACACTGCCACCCCCCGCCTCCCGCCGCGCAGGGCTGCTGCCCGCAGAGGGCCCGGGCGCCGGGCGGGGTGCCTCAGGGGCTGGCGATCACTGTGTCTGTCGATCGGTCCGGCCCTCCGGCTCCCTTCACAGGCCTCTCCGCTGCAGACCCTCCCGCCCCTCCGCCGGCTGCTTCCACGGCCACAAGCGCGCTCCCAGACACACGCCACGGGGCGGGGGCCGCGCTGGGCTCCAGCCTGCTGCAGCTGTGGCGCCCTGTGAGGCGGCGGCACCGCGGACCGCCGAGCCCCGGGCACCCGCCGAGCGCGCCCCCCCGGCCCCGCCCCGCCTCGGGCACCTCGCACCCGGCTGTGTCTCGGTCCACCCCACCACCGCCTCCACCAGTTCATTCAACAGCTGGAGGCAAAGTTGCCCCAGGTGTAGCGCCCGTTAGAGGACAACCCCATCCCCGACCCTCTTCCCCCAGGTGCACCCCTTTCTATCCTGTGCCCTGACCTGGGGTCTCGAGGGCAACCGCTGGCGAGCCCTGCGGCGGGGCTGCTGCGTTCCCATTTTGCAGGCGGGACAGATGAGTGCTTGCCCCAAGGTAACACAGCGAGTTCACAGTCTCCAATTCTCCCTGCCTCCAACCAGGGCACTTGACTGTCTCTCTCTGCCTTAACCTGTCCCCGGGAGGATACTGGGATCTGTGGCTACCCAAAGAAACTTCCTAAGGCCTTCTTGGCCCCAGCTCAAGCTGCACTTCCTACAAACACACACACACACACACACACACACACACACACACACACACACACACACACAACCTGCGCCACCTGCAAGGGGGTCTTCCTGCACGGTAGCGGTAGGGAGAGGCTCTGCGCCCAGAGCTGGGTACATGAACAGCTGGTGGGGAGTCTGGGCTGGTGTCAGGAGCCTACTCCAGCCGCTGTGACCGGCAAACCCAGACAGTTGAGCTCGGCCGCCGCCGCCGCCAGGCTTTGTGCTTCGCAATCACTTTTACGGGCCGCATTCCCAGTGCCTGTCCTCAGGTGGTGCCCAGCAGTTCAGCCTGGCTGCAGGAACTCCTAACAAGGGCATCTCATGCAGGCCTGAGCTGAGTCTGGATGGATGAATGGGAACTGATGGATAGGAGCTGCTCAGCTGAAGGAAGTGGAGAAGGGTATGTATCCCAGGCTGCGGGAACAACATGTGCAAAAGCATCCTGGAGTATTAACTACAGAGGGACCCACGGAATTGGGTATTACTAGAGCAGAAAGAACTGCTGTTCAAAAACACCTCCCTCTTGTCATCTGAGGACAGGAAAGAGGCTCAAGATAGGACCAGAAGGGTAGACAAGCGCTGAGACGCAGGCCACCTCTTGTGCCACGGTACAGAGAGACTGTTGGATGTCTCACCTCTGGCCCCCAAACCTTTATCGTTGGCTGGCAGGCACACTCCTACCTACCTATCCTCAGGTCCCTCTTTGCAGACCCAAGGAAGCCATTATGCTGCCTCCGCCCTCTAACCTAATCCCCTTCCCCCTAGAGAGATCGGAAGAGCTCAGGGTTCCCCACCCGGGGCTGGGCGCCGGCCTGGGTCCCGTTCCAGCACAGCGGTCCCCAACTCCAGGCCCACTTCTGGCAGAGACAGCTGCCCCTGCGCCCTCTGGCGGATCTGATGCGCAACGGCAGAGTACGCCCTCTGGCTCGCGTGTGCTGAGGTGGGCACTGGGAGAGGCCTACCAAGCAATGACCTCAGGGAACACCAGGCACTGAATGGCAAAGTAACACTTCTGGTTCCATCTGTATGAGTCCCCCAGAGTGACAGCCACCCCACCCCAGCCTCAGTTCGCTCCTGTAGGAAATGGGTAAGTCCTGGCCAGTCCTGAAGGCAGTGCGTCCTTATTTGGACACTCCCTTCTTTCCTGGAGCCTGCAGAGCTGGCTAGACTCACTCAGGCGGTGGTTTTGAGCTTTCATCATTCCCATATTCCCCCCTTGAAGACTGCCCCACCCCCACAGAGCACAGAAACTGTTGCCAGTTTTCCTCTCTGAGCCCAGTTGTTACACCACACAGAAGATGATGGCGGGGTTGGCCTGGACTGGGGGTCATTGTGGACCACACCATCTGGATCCTTGACTGGGCTTTCTCTACACCAGCACTGTCCACTGTACCTTTCTGCCATGGTGGAAATGATTTAAGTAGCCGCTAACCTCATGTGGCCATTGTGTGGTTAAAATCATGGCTTCTACAACGGCAGAATTCACTTATCTTTTTTATTTTGATTGATCTTAAACGGCCACATGTGGCTTGTGGCTACCATGTTAGTGAAGATTTGGGTACACAGCAACCTCCTGGTTTAAAGGGGGTGGGAAAGCCTAGAGAGAGAGCTCAGTGTGTGTGTGTGTGTGTGTGTGTGTGTGTGTGTGTGTGTGTGTGTGCACGCGTGCGTGCGTGCATGCACGCACCAGGATCCTGAACAGGGGGTCATGGGGGTGGCGTGAGGCAAAGGTGGGCATTAGCACGTTCCAGGTCTAGGCCAGGCCTTTCCATTCTTCACCCAGTCTCCTATAACAGCTCCTTCCTACCGCTGTCATCTGTTGAAACCCTCCAGAGGTGGCCCAGAGCCCAGGCAGGCATGCAGACGTGTTCTCAACATTGCCAGGTGATTGGCACCAACTGCCTAGGTGCTCACTCTGTATGAAGTGTCTGGATCAGCGGGAGATGTCTACCTCAGGTGTGGCTGCTGGGGCATACTCTGGATCTTCTCTTCTAGAGAATGAAATCCAGGCTCCCCGCTTTGCTCTCTGGGCAGGCTAGTTTTATGGCAATGACACCAGACAGAGCTATCTGAAAGGAGGGGATCTCAAATGAGAAAAATGCCTCGGTAAGATCCCGACATTTTCCTAGTGATTGATGGGGGAAGGCCCAGTCCATTGTGGGTGGGGCCATCCCTGGGCTGGGGCTGGTCATCCTGGGTTCTAGAAAACAGGCTGAGCAAGCCATGTTGAGCAAGTCGGTAAGCAGTACCCTCCATGGCCTCTGCTTCAGCTCCTGCCTCCAGGCTCCTGCCCTGTTTGAGTTCCTGTCCTCAGTGCTTTTGATGAGGAGGGGTTATACGGAAATGTGAGTAAAATCATAAATCCTTTCCTCCCCAACTTTCTTTTGGTCATGGTGTTTCATCACAGCAATAGAAGCCCTAGCTAAGACATCCTCGTAGGTCCTGGCAGCTGGCACCCCCTCAGCATCTCTCCAGCACCAGCACATGCTCTAGGAACCAGCAGCACGAGGTGAGCCCTTTCCAGAGAATGCCATGACTCTCTCAGCCCAGACTTTGTCCTTCACCTGAAAGAACTCCCCCTACCCAGACTCCCTGCCTGCCTCCTGCCAATCTATCCAGCACAGGGCACCATTCAAGGCCCACCTCCTCCATGAACCCTGACGACCTCTACTGAGCTGGTTCTGTTACTTCTTCCTTCTTCCATTCCCAGAACATTCTGGAGGCCGCAGTGACAGCATCCATCACGTCACGCTGTCTGTCACTCCTGTCTTGTCCACTGCTGAGGCCTTCCCTGTTATGATCATTCTTGTCTGTGGCCCTTCCCCAATTCACGCCTCGCTTGAATACCTCTCTCCAGGAGCCCAATGCTCTTTTCCTATGTCAGTGTCATTAACAGGCTATAAAAATGGCCATTAAGGGCTTGTCTTTTAGGCAACCAGCCTCTCTCCCTCTTCCCATAACACCCCAGTTCCGTGTCTCCCCACGGCCACGGTCAGTCTTAATGGGATATGAATCAAGGTGCCCCTCCCCTAAGCTGAGCTAACAGCTCACAGGTGGAGTGATTGATATGTGGGCAGAAGGAACAGCTGTATGGGAACCATTCCAGAATCCCAGTGTCCAAGATAACACAGAGGGCACTTCCAGCTGCCTAGATCCCTGTCTTACATCCCAGACCTCCACCCACCTTGGGCTCTTGTTATGATGCTGAGCAGTGGTCCCCACAGCCCACCAGCAAAGTGCCCTCCATTACTGAGTTGACCAAATGTGGCTCACATTCTAATGACCCCACTAACTTGGCCATATCATGAGGACATCCCGCCCAACCAAGGTCTTCTTTGGGGGGCTTGGAAAACAGTGGGAAGGGAATCGTGGGAGTGCCGCCTACCATGTGCGCTTAGCTGCATGGCGAGATGCACCCTTCAGACATACATGAATTCTCTTTCACTTGATTTTCATGCCATTTTGAGTTGATGCTAAGAAATTAGGTTAAGCGATTCTCAAATCACAGATCCATGCATACCGGGTATTAGGTGTCACACTCCCGTTGGGCCTCCGGCGCTGGGGCAGAATGCTTGACTCACTGGAGAGGAACCCCGAATGAGAGGCAGAGACTAGAGAGCACATGTGAGTTTAGGAGAATACCCCATCCTGTGCACAACATGGATGCCCTCCCCCAAGAGGCATGGAGCAGGATGAGGCAAGCACAGGAGACAGAGAAGCCTTCTCAGCAAGGGGTCCTCCCGATAGGAAGTCTTGTTTTCCTGGACACTGTGACAGGGCCAGGAAGCAAGGTTGAAGGCCAGGGCTAGGGATCAAATACTTCCGGGTCCTAAGAAGGATGAGAGACCTTGGAGGCTGGCTGGGGAGATTCACTAAGGGGAAGAGAATAAAGATGGGAGGCCCTGGGAAGCTAAGCTCCCTCCCCACCCATGCCCTCCCCACTTCTCTGCCCTACTTCCTTCAGGAAAGCCTGTCTGTTGGCCGTATCCATCCTCTGTCGTGCAATGAATTATCTCCCAACTCCACAGCTGAAATCAGCAAAAACAAAAATCAAGCTTGCCACTCAGGTCCTGGGGTCCAGAGTAAGAGGGAGGAGTATGTTCCCATAAGGCCATCCCTGCCCTCTGAGGCCAAGGCTGAGGACCCGCTTCATGATGCTGGCTATGGATGACAAGTGTAGGCTGAGAGGTGGAGGGGGGGCTTGGGGAATGGGCTCCTTGTCCCTGTAAGACCACATGTGCACCCGCATGACACAGTGACTGTTTCCCCCACAGCCAGACAAAGGCAGAAGCCAGGATGACTCTCATAACCTGTCCCCAGATGACACCATGGTCAGGGCCACACTGACTCCACACAGGGTGTGGGTTCTAGGAAAAAGATTCCATCAGGCCATCGCAAGGCCAGTGGGTCTGATGTCTGACACCAGGGGAACCCGAGGAAGTTCTAAGCTCTGTGTCCAGATAGACAAGAAGAAGATAGCCAGGGGGTATCAAGCATTCATCTGATCTCCATC